AGAGGAACAGGCAAAAGCTTGAGGAAAGTAAGCATAGATTTAGGTTCTTTACCCATGGCTTTCTCTTTTCTGAAATGCCCCAAATTTCTATTATTCTGTAGATTCTCACCCAGACTTCTCATAAGGATGTTTTGACTAGTCTTGAGCTGTTTCTAGTTTGTATCATTTGGACTGTGGGTACCTTCAGAGGAAAAGCCAACTATCCATGCACTGGAATTCACACAAGGCCCTTGGTTTTGCTTGTTTTTCTTTTTTTTTTCTTCTTTCCCTCCTGTCCTGACCTGCAGGACATCAACCTGGGGCAAGAGAGTCAGGGATAGGGAATGGGGACAAGAGACGAAGAAAGAACAACCACAAGACAGGATTCTGATCAAGTGGCAGACTTTATTTTTCTCAGGCTAGCTTATATAGTCATCAGAGCAGGATATGGGGGAGGGCAGAATGGGTTGTTTGTTCACCAGGTGTTAGTATAGGCGGGATATTAGGAAGCCACAAAGAGGATGTTTGGCAGGGTAAAGAGTTCATGAGTAAGAGGTCCAGTAAGGGTTGCCTAGGTGACTGAGCCTATGGGCGGAGGACTGGGTTAAATTGCTCCTTTTCTTGAGCTGAGGTTTTAAAGAGCTGCTATGTAAAGGTTAATATACAACTCTGTGGCCGGCCAAGAATGGCCTAGGATCTCATGTCAAACCCTGAAATTTGGCTTCCAACACTCTCTGGTATGTGTGTGTTTCTCAGAATTAATCCATTGTCACTATGAAAGTTTTCCTGCTAACAGCAATTCATTACTGAAAAAGAAGACCTGAAACTTATTTTTTTCTTAAGTGAAAGGATATATGGGGACAAATTATGCAAAGGAAACACTCTCTGTTTCTTTTTCTTGGGCCTATTGACTATTTGTTCCATAAACTGAAACAATGTTTTACCAGTCAGGAAATTATACTCAAATCTTCCTTTCTATGAAATTAGCCTCAAATCAACAGAGTTATATAAAATTTTCATGAACCATTATGTTATTGAGCAAAACTCCTCCTTCATGTCCCTGTAAGTGTAGACAACTTGTCCACTTTGTTTCCCAGGGACTTACACAGCACTGTACATGGTCCAGGTGGGTATCTTACATATGATAGTTCATGTGGAGTGAAGCAGACTGATCAGAAGGTTGATGAAGATTTCTAGTTTTCAGTTTTGGAAACTGAGCAGAGAGAGATTAGAAACTGACAGAATCTGGATTTGAACCAATACATTTTGATGTTGTTAGAATTTTTGCCTCTCTCAGTTTTTCCACCTATTGATGGGATTAAAACAACTTCAACAAAATCAATTTAAGAGAGAAAGGGTTTATTTTGGATCACAATTCAAGGTGCAATCCATCCTTGTGGGAAAGTCAAGGAAGTAGGAACCTTAAACAGCTGGTCACCTTGCATCCACAGTGAGGAACAGGAAGTGATAAATGTACACTAGCTTTAAGCTCTTCATTTTATAGAGTCCAGCATCCCCTGCCCAGGGAATAGCCCTTCCCACAGGTAAAATGGATCATTCTATACCAATTAACTAAATCAAGATAATCCCCCACAGACATGCCCAGACAACCCTCTCCCAGATGAGTCTAGATTCTGTCAAACAGACAATTAACACTAACCATTGAAACATCTGTCTGTCTGTCTAACGTCTATCTACCTAACTACCTATTGATACTAATGTGGCCTCACTGTCACCTGGGCTCAAGAGATCCTCCTATATATGTATGCACATACCATGCCTCTATGTGTTTGATACCACATTTGGCTGAGTTTCTACTTTTTTTTTTCTTTCTTGAGACAGGGTTTCTCTGCGCAACAACTCCAGCTGTCCTGGAACTCACATTGTATATCATGCTGGCCTTGAACTCACAAAAGATCTTCCTGCCTCTGCCTTCCAAGTGCTGGGATTAATGGCACGTGCCACCACTGCCTGGCTGAGTTTCTACTCTTAACACTGACATATTTTCCTCTAACAGTCTTTGCTGCCTGTTACATGTCATTGATAATATTTATGTAATTTCATGTTTTTGAATAGTATTCAACCCACTGATTTATAAACCACTTCATAAATAGGAATCAGATATTTCTTGTTGTGCTAGATACCCAGAACAGACCCAAGTTAAGCTTTCTATTATAAATTAGGCCCAGGCAATGTTAATTTTTCTTCCATGCTATAGTTTCACAGTGTGGTATTTATATCCTAAGACTTGCTTATTTCTTCTGCCTTATATTGCAGTTAGCAGTAGATATACTTGATATGCCTATTGAATTGTAAGATCATTGAGGATAGAGATCATGCAGTTGTCACTGTTATTGGTATTTTCTTTACTGGGGCATCTAGCCCAAATGGAATATAATTCATAGACATGAAAACCAAGGAGAAACTTAAGTAAAGCTAAGGAGCCAACTATCAAAATATATTGGGTTTAGAAAATGTCTAGGTAGATTTAGTAGTGAAGACAGCGGCCTTTAAGTTGTGAAAAGCAGCAAGGCGGCACACTGGAGTTTTGGGAGAAAATGGAAAGACAGTGATGGTAGTATGTGTGGAGGCAGGCCATGGAGAACCTTAGGAGATATAGTAAGAATTTAGGGTTTTAAGTCTGATGGAAATCATTGGAACATTTTAGCTAGAAGAATGACATATAAATTATATTCAAAGTGTTTAATCTAGATGTTGGGAAGAGAGTAGGTTAGATGAGGAACAAGAGTAGACTCTGGGGTGTACAAGATGGATCAGAAGGTAAACGTGCTTGCTGCCAAGCTGAACAACTTGAGATTGATCCTTGGAACACATATGGTGGAAGGAGAGAACCCATTCCCCAAAGCTGTTCTCTGAACTCCACTTATATACTGTGATAGACCCCTCACCTCAAGAATAGAATCAGAAAGAACAATTATGGAGCTAGTGAGATAATCTGGGTCAGGGGTTACCTGATTAGCTTGGGGATGGAGGTCATATAATAAGTGGTGTGAAGTGTTTAGAGTTTGGATATATTTGATGTTAGAATCCAGGATATTTGGGAAGAACTTTACAGGGTTTGAGAATTTCCCACGGTTTTAGTTTAAGCAGCATGATAAATACATACATACATAATACATACATACATATCTATCTATATAAAATCATCTGTATCCATATCTATCTGTCCATTATTATATACATGAAGGAACTGATAGTAGGTAAGGGATTCTGATAAGTTTTGAAATAGTGTCTTAGTTGCCTTTCTCCCAGCTTCAGATTGCTTCTAAATAAGTGTCAACTTTTTTTTATTAAGAATTTTATCTGTAGGCAGGTAGCTAGTATTTATTTAAAAGTTCTTTCAGAAGAAGGGCCTGAGCAGGAGTACTTTAAGAGCCTTGGAGGGTTTTTGTTGTTGTTTTCTTTTGTATTTCTACTATGAGAATGCTCAGAGAATGCCTTGCTGGCATTAATGATTTACTAAATTCAATGGAAAAGATTCAATTTTCTTTTCAGCTTTCACATTCTGTAAGGAAATGTTTTGTGTTATAGTTAAGATAATTGGATACACTTGTCTTAGTTAGGGTTTCTAATGCTGTGAATACCATGACCATGGCAACTCTTCTAAAGGAAACATTTAATTGGGGTGACTTGCTTACAGTTTCAGAGGTTCAGTCCATTATCTTCATGGTGGGGACCATGATAGCATGCAGGTATTCATGGTACTGGAAAGGTAACTGAGAGTCCTATATCTTGCAGGCAGCAGGATGTGACTGAGACACAGGGTTGTATCCTGAGCATAGGAAACCTCAAAGCCTACCTCCTCAATGACACATTTCCTCGAACAAGGCCATGCCCACTCCAACAAAGCCACACCTTCTAGTAATGCCACTCCCTATGAAATTATGGGGTCCAATTACATTCAAACTACCATAACTGTAAATAATTGCTTGCCTTTTGAAATGCAGTAGTTAAGGATCACCACTGGCTCACTATTCTTTGAAGTATCAATAATCATTTTACCCTTTGCAGCCTTAGCTTCTCAATTGAGAAATGAGAAGAGCTCCTAACTAATCTCATGACTCTTGTAAAAATAATGTATGATCATCTGTGCTTAATACACACATCACTCAGGCATTAAAATTTTATGAGGTCTGAATCTCAGTGAAGCCTGTGGAGTGAGTATAAAGGACCTGCACTGAAGAATTTGTGGAAAATTCTTACATTGCTTCAATATGTAGATAAATATACATATCATAAAAATGCGTAAGTGTAGGTGCTAAATAATAGTAAGAGAAAAAGTAATAAGATCTGTTGCATGATAGGTGCCTATAGATAATGGCATTGTATGTATATTTCAAAAAGCTAGAAGGTGTAACACGAAAAATAAATGACCCAGAGGCTAATATTGGGGTTCAAGCTTCAATCTGAGTATCAAAAAAGCAAAGCAGCTGGCCACTGGCTTCTTATCTCTACCTCAGGCTGAATGGGCTGATCCTGTCTCTACGAACTCTCACCAAGCCTCAGACTGAACCTCTCTTCAGTGTGGTTGGAGACTGAATGTCCCTACTGAATTTACTCCGGTCTTATATACCCCTCTAGTGCTAGAATTAAAGGCATGAGCTCTGTTATTCTTTTAGACTGATTCAATCTTGTGTATCCCTGGGTGGCCTTGAACTCAGAGAGATCCATCTATGTCTTAATCCTGAGTCCTAGAGTTAAAGATAAGTGTCTGGCTTCTATGGCTTGTGGCTGACTTTGCTTTCTGAATCCTTAGGCAAGCTTTAATAAATCATAAATAATATCACTACAAGAAGGATTTTTGTATATTTTCACTAGAAAGAAGTGTTAGATATTTGAAGTAACAGATATGTTTAACTTGATTTAAACATTGGAAAGTATTTGTTGTAAAAATCCATATCTCATAAATATGCATAATTTTATCTTTCATATGTTAATTAAAATAAATTTAATGTCTAACAGTATGTGACTGAAGAGAATTGCTGATGTTTATTTTATAGGTATTGGTTTGCCTTGAGAAAGGGTTACGATGTGGTTTTCAAACACAGCAAAAGAACGAGTAATTTCATGGAGGAAAAACCGGATCCTCACAGAGAAGCCATAGACATAGCCACCGACTTGAGCATGCTCAGGCTGTTTGAGACCTACCTGGAAGGCTGCCCACAACTCATCCTTCAGCTCTATGCCTTTCTGGAACGTGGCCAGGCAAATTTAAGTCAGTGTAAGTCTTTCTCAATACCCCTGGCTTGATGTATGCCACTGAGAGCTTATCATAACTTTATAAATCTCAGGACTTTTAGAATTTTTTAATTCCTAAAAATTGTTTTTTGAAATGAAATTCAGCAGCATGTTTCAAATACTAAGAAGTGTGTAAAGATATAATCTCTATTTCTGTTCTTTATGTTCCTTCTCCTGTCTGCCTAGAAGGGAAACTACTGCTGTTGGTTACTAGAGGGTCCTTCAGAGAACCTGGAAAAAGTGTACGCTGTGTTTTGTTTTATTTTTTTCCCTTAAGACAAAAAAAGATAGTAGTTGGCTTTTTGTTTTGTTTTCAACTGCACATCCTGCAGCACTATCCAAATCTGTACAGGAAGGGTTCCCTCATTCTTATCCCATGCATCATGCTATATATAGATAAGCCATAATTTTATTTTTGGTTGTGAGCCTAGCCTTTAACAGCTGAGCCATCTCTCCAGCCCGATAAGCCATAATTTACCAGTCACTCTGTTAGTTATGTTAATTTAGGTTGTTTGAAAATATCTGACTATTAAATGATGTGACTTTTGCATCATTATGGTATGATTCTGTCCTTATCTTTATTATTTTCCTTTTGATCTTTTAAAAAATTTAAAATAGAGTTTTTCATGCAATACATCCTGAATACAGTTTCCCCTCCCTCTATTACTTCCAGTTTACTCCTCCCATTTAGATCAACTCCCTTTCTGTCACCCCCTAGAAAACTTACAGGCATCTAAGGAATAATAATAAAATAAAATAAATTATAATAAGATACAAAAACCAAACAAATCAGAATAGGACAAAATAAGCAAACAGAAAGGAAAGAGCCCAAGAAAGGGTACAAGAGGAAGATATAGACACAGAAGCCCACTAGTTTGCATGCCGTAAAAACACAAAACCAGAAGCCATAATATATGTGCAAAAGACCTGTAGGGTAATACATAGATAGACAGACAGACAGATGGATAGAAAGTTAAAAATTACAAAAAGAAAGAAAAAGTCTTGTTCCAACATTATGAGACAAAGAACCTCCAAAGATGCCACTGAGTTCATTTTCTGTTGGCCATCCACTTGAGAGTAGTTTGTTTCCCCAGTGAGACTCCCTTGGAGAAAATTAAATTCTCATTTGCAAGGGGTTATCAGTTGGAGAGAGCTTCTGGGTAGGGATGGATGCATGTGTCCACTTCTTCCTTATTGCTTTTTTAAAAAGGGAATAATTTGAAGAGTTACTTAAAAATAGTAGCCGGGCAGTGGTCATGCACACCTTTAGTCCCAGCACTTGGGAGGCAGAGGCAGGTGGATCTCTGTGAGTTTGAGGTAAGCCTGGTCTCCAGAGCTAGTTCCAGGATGGTCAGGGCTACACAGAGAAACCCTGTTTCAAAAAACTAAAAACCAAAACCAACCAAACAAACAAGAAAAAAAAGGGAAGAGAGAGTGCAATTATCTAGTAATAGAGAACTTGGCTAAATTTTTAAAGACATTTAAAATAAAACATAGTTCTTAGAAGAATCTTTTTAAAGAAATTGCACTAAATTTTTGTAGACATTTAAAATAAAACATAGTTCTTAGAAGAATCTTTTTAAAGAAATTTTAATGACATAGGAAAGCATTTATGTGATCAGATTTAATCAAAAGTGTTCATAAGCTTTCCCATCAGCATATTCTTTTTTTTTCTTTTTTCCATCAGCATATTCTTAAGGATACAAATAAATGACTAAAAAGAAACATTTAGATGGAAGTGTGCCAAAATGTTAAGTACAGCTGCTGTTGGTAGAACAATTATGAATGATTTTTTCATGTTTTTACGTTTTTTGGATGTTTTTTGATAATCATAAAAATTATTCAAAATGTAAAAGTTATCATGTTACCATGAAGAATATCTTAGATGATAACCAAATGAGTGTCATTCCAGATATACTGGGTTAGTGTAACACATTCAATTCAACAAATGTAATACATTATATAAGTAGACTTAAGGAGGAGGTGTGGGAGAGATTCTAAAATGTTCAACCTGCATTCATGATAAAAATCCTGGAGAGATTATGAATGGGTGGATCATACCTCAAAATGTAAAGCCATATACAAGAAACTGGCAGATAATATTATACTAAAGAAAGCATTTCTTCTAAAACTGGGAATGAGACAAAGATTCCTACTTTCATCTCTCTTACTCAATAAGAGTTCAAAGTCCTGTTAGATAAACAAGACAAAAGAAAGACATAAAAGGGATAGACACATGAAAGGAGGAAGTCAAACTGTCCCTAATGCAGATTCAAAACTCTATACTTCCAGACTCCCTAGATCATAAGGATTGCAGACCTAATTAAGTGCTTTTAGTAGAGTTGTAGGATGCAAAATCATCATACAAACATCAGTACCCTTCATATATACCAAGAACTCACAGAGAAAGAAATTGGGGAAGATATCCCATTTATAATAGCTCACAAAAATAAAGTACCTAGGAATAAACCAAATCAAAGAGGGGAAAGCCTCCACAGTGAAAACTTCAAGACATTGGAAAAAAGAAAGAAAGAAAGAAAGAAAGAAAGAAAGAAAGAAAGAAAGAAAGCAAGCAAGCAAAGAGGATACTAGGTAATGGAAAGATATTCCATGTTCCTGGCTTAGCAGATGCAATGTTGTAAAGATGGCTGTGTTACTAAATGTAATCGACAGATTCCATGTGGTTTCCATCTAAATTCCAGTGTCATCCTTCCCATAACTAGTAAAAATAGTCTAAGAATTCACATGGACCCACCAAAGTCCACAAAACAAATATTCAGTGAAATAATGAGGAAGAACACAGCTGGAGATATCACAATACTTGATCTCAAATTATACTATAAAGCTGTAGTAATAAAGGCAGTCTTGGACTGGCAAAATAGAGAGTCTGGAAATACACGAACAAGCCCTGGCTGCCTGATTGTCAACAGAGTTGTCTAAAACATGCAGTGGAAAAAGACAGTCTATTCAAGAAATGGTGTTGGCTTGGCCTAGCAGTCTCCCCCAAGAGCCACAGAAATCTAAAAACAACCCCAATACCAGGCATGAGAAACCCGGTTTCCAGTTGTTGGTCAGGGGAGTTCAAGAGAACCCCCCCCCCCACAAACAATATAGGCTATTGCTGTTGTCCTTGTTTGCCTCCCTGAGGTAGAAGTTAATGTATTATTTCTGAAGACACCATGCACTTTAGACAAAAGACCAGGGACCCAGGCTGGATCTGACTTGAAAGCCACCCCCACACCTGAGAACTAGCTTCCATAGTACTGAAACTTGCTATGCAAGTTTCCAAGGGAGGGAAGCAGCCAATGATCCTACCCACCTGTAACACCTATGAACCACAACTACTAGAATGGCATGGTGACCCTAAGGGTGCAATAACGATTATCTCAGCAGTGACCAACAGCTCTCTAACTGGACTTAAGTCCAGCTCAGCAGGAGGAAAGCCATGTGGTCTCACCTAGCCAGCTACCCAGGACTAGTGAGGTCAAGGGCCTTAGAGGAGTTACCGCTTCCACTTTACTAAGCCATTATAATTCCTAACAGTACTTTAAATATTTGTTCTTGTACCTAGAGATAAATGTAGCTGTCACCCCTCATCACAGAAACTTCTCTTTATAATAGATAGACACTGTTACAGAAAGTCCTAACCTTGTTATGAAACAAGTGATTGTGAGATTCCCAGCCCCAGCTGGTGCATCTACAACACAACTCCCACACCTAAGACTTAGGGAACATTGCGGAAAAGCGGGCAGATTCTTGTAAGAGCCAGAGATCCAGGATATCTGCTGTGAGATGTGTTCTCTAGAAGTGACAGGGAGGTTTCACCCACAATACCTCACCAATATGGCTGCCTAAACAAAACCTGAAAAAGTATAACACCAATAGACATGCTAACATGGAAGTGAGAATCTCACAGGGCCCCATCCATAACAAGGAACTTCAGGAAACTAAGGAATTCTGGGACTGGGGGAAATAGTCTTTCACAAGGATTAAACCCCCTAATTGGTTATTGAATACCAAGTGGTCAGTCCTGAATTCTTATACATACAAGCAACACTAAATGAACTAAGCAGGTTGACTTTATATATTGAGGTGTGTGTGTATGTGTATATATGTGCATGTATAACAGTAACAACTTTCTAAAAAGGCCGTTATTTCAAGAGGGAACAAGGCACAGGGTATATGGGAGAGTTGGAGGGAGGAAGGTGCAGGGGACAATGATGAATTTTTTATTTTAAAAAATATAAAATTTTTAATAATAAGAAATGGTGCTGACAAAATTACATATTCACCTACAGAAGAATGAAATGAAAACCATATCTTTTGTGCAAAAATCAATTCAACATGTATCAAAGACCATAATTTTTCTTTTCAATGCTATTAGCGTGATTTTATTTTATTTTTTTTTCTTTTCAGATTTTTTTATTTGAATTAGAAACAAGATTGTTTTACATGACAATCCCAGTTCCCTTCTCCCTTCTCCCTCCATCCTCCCCTACCACCTCAACTAAAACCCTTCCGATCACATATCCTTTCTTCTATTCTTCCCCCGACTCAACCTTTCTGCTCCCTCATGACCTCTGCATCCTTCCTCTTCTTCCCTTCTCATTCTTGTAGCTCCCTACCCCTTCTTCCCATGCTCTCAATTTGCTCAGGGGATCTTGACCCTTTCCTCTTCTCCAGGGGACCATGTATGTCTCTCTTAGGGTCCTCCTTGTTTACTAGCTCAAAGACCATAATGTAAAGCCTGAAATGTTGAAACTGCTAGAGAAAAACTGGGAATAGGCAAGGACTTTCTGAACAGAATCCTGGCAACACAGGGACTAGCCTCCAGAACCAACAAATGGAACTCCACTAAGTTATTACACAACAAATGCTACATCAGAGCAAACAGCCCACAGATTGGGAGAAAAATCTATACCTGCTGTACTTCAGATAGGGGCCTAATATGCAGAATTTGCAAAAATTAAACACCAAAATTTCAAATTACCTTTCAGCAAATGGGCTAACGGATTTGACATTCACCAATAGAGCAAACACAGATTTCCAATAAGTATCTTTTTGTTATTGTTGCTCTTTGTTTATTTTGAGACAGGGTTTCTCTGTGTAGCTTTGGACCCTATCCTGGCACTCGCTCTGGAGACCAGGCTGGCCTCAAACTCACAGAGATTGCCTGCCTCTGCCTCTTGAGTGCTGGGATTAAAGGGTGCGCCACCAACGCCCGGTCACAATGGAATTTTACTTATTTATAAACAAAAATGAAATTATGAAATTTGCAGGAAATGATGAACCTGGAAAGTATAATATTAAATCAGATGACCCAAACTCAGACAAAAACCACATGGTCTCTCTCATACTCAGACTTTACCTTGTAAGGTATGCATGTACACATATAAATGGATGTAAATTTAGCTAAAGCATAAAACACTAGAAAAGATACCAACATGGTTATTACAAAAAGTGGCTGAGGAATGGGTGGGGCACATGTGACAAGAAAACAGAAAAGAGGCTACAGGGGGACAGGGCTGATGGGAAGGTAAGGGGGAGGGACTTACTAAAACACTGAAAATGCCATAATGATAACTAAATCCTTTGTTGCTAATTAAAAAAAATGAAAATTAAAGTCATGTTATAGAAATGGTTTATAAATTGAGCATATTCTTTGAAGAATAAAGCAACAATGTCAACACTTAAGGACAAAGATACTGCTTGGGAGAATAGCAAAAATACCAATACAAAGGTATCAATAAGATTCCAGTAGAATGCAGTTGGACAAGAGGCATGGACTCTGTGATGTCTTGAGGTCTACTGAGAGCATGATAAATATGGTTGATAACAATATGCTATATTTTAAAAGTTGTGAGATAGTATACTTTAAGTGTTCTCAAAACAAAAAATGATGAATATGTGTGATATAACATGTTAATTGGTTTAATTTAGCCATGCCATTGTGAACATACTGTATTGTGTATCATAATTTTGCATGACTTTATTTATGAGCTAAATAAATAAATGGAAAAAAATAAAGCAACATCAAGCTTTTAAAGTAAAAAAAAAATAAAATTGAAAAAAAAGATTCCAGTAGAAGATGCAAAGTAGATGGAAAGCAGCTTATTCAAATCAGCCATTTCACTTGAAAACTAAATTATTTTAGGCAATCCTTCCATTGAAAATATGACATTAAATAAGATACTTAAAAAAAACTTCCATAAATGCAAAATATTTGATACAACATATCAGAATTTTCATGGAAGTGGGAATGGCCTGTGGTTGATTAGAATTCTGAAGATGTTTGGATCCTCAGTGTTTAACTAGAATTCTGAAGGTGTTTAGATACCCAGGGTATTTCTTAGTCTCACAATTACTCAGTTTTGATTATTTCCTGGAGTGTAGAAGACAGAAAACAAATAAGAAGCAAGGCAATGGTTACTTAAAGGAAATACAAAATACTCTAAAAGTAGGAAACATTGTTTCTGAGAGATTAAAAAAAAAGCCTTAAACTAACCCAAACTGAAACACAACTCCTACTTACATAGTATAATAAAGTGAACATTGAGTATTTTTACCAAATATAATTTTGTTTCTCTTTTGGATAGTTGGAGGGAGAGGAAATGGAAGAAGGTGTGTCTATATGTGCTACATTTCCCTTTTCCGAATAGAAAAGAGTGAGCAGTGTCTTCTGAGGATAAACTAAGACTGTGTTTGTGTAAGAATATGACAGTGCATGTCAGGGCCACAACTAGCAGAGCTGGGGTTTGCAGCTCAGTGGGGAGGGGACCTAGAGAAAGTGACTGCTGGTTTTCTTTAGGGTTTGCAGAACTTTTAAAACCATGTGTATGTATTAATTTGGTGGCGATTAAAGCCAGGCACGGTGGTGCACACTTGTAATCCCAGCACTCTGAAGCCTGAGGCAGGCAGACTAATTTGAATTCAAACTACCCTGGGCTACACAGTTTCATGAAACAAACAAACAAAAAAATCAAAGAGATCACCCAGATACAAAAACACATCGCATGGGCTGAAAAGAGGGGTCAGCAGTTAGGAGCACTTACTGCTCTTGCACAGGGCCAGGTTCCGGTTCCAGAAGCCAAATGATGACTCTGGGTTTTCTCTAACTCTAGTTTCAGGAGATCCAACGCCCTCTTCTGGCCTCCGTGGGTATCAGGCACATGCCCGAAAAACACCTTTAGACATAAGATTTAAAAATTTGTTTTTAAAAGTCACTGGGCAATTTAGGGGAAAGTGATATTTTAATTAAAATGAGTCCAGATCCATTGTGTTTTATGCCAAAATCAAGAGAGGAGAAAAGGTGCTCATAAAGCCCTGCCCACTCTCAGCAAGAAACACATCATTGGAAAGATGACTAGGCACCGATAGACCTCGGGTGTGACTCAAAGCGACTCCTACTCTGTGGCCACCTTTATTTTGGTGTTCTCATATATTTGCTTTACCTTTTAAAACATCCTCTGTTTGGACAGTGGGGTTAGAAATGGCTTGCATTTCTTGAACAGCAATGAACTTTGGCTGTTTGCTGGGAGAAAACAGGTGAAGATGTCAAAACTATAGAAGTTTGTGAATTTCACATGACTAAGGGTCTGTAGGTTATGAAAAATGATTTTGTTAATGATGTATACTTATGTTAATTTTCTGTTTAACTGTCTCATACCTCATTAAGCTATCTCTCAGTGAATTAGGTATGTGTACAAGGTCAAAGCCAAATAGTGTAGAGAATTTAGACATAATTGTGTTTAGCCAAGGTATTTTTTTTTTACTGAATCTATTCAAGATTATTCTAAAGCAGTATGCTATAGTTCATTAACACACCAACTTTCAGACAGCTTTTGTTTCAAATCTCAGTTCTATTCCTTTCTAGTTGCATAAGAATCAAGTAACAAATTTCTTCAAACTTTGGCTCCTCTAATGCAATGTGGAGATATCAAAATCTACCTTCAGTGAGTTAGATAAGTGCTGTGTTGGTGTGTTTCTACCCTCCTCAAGCAGGCATGGCACATGCTAATTTGCTATTGTAATTATTATTCTTACTAGTTTTACTGTTACCATTCCTAAACCAGCATGTCTTTTGTGTTTTGTTTTGTAGATGCAGTCATCTTGATTTCCTGCTGTGCTATTTCTTGGTCAACAGTGGACTATCAAGTAGCTTTAAGAAAGTCATTGCCTGATAAAAATCTCCTCAGGGGAGTCTGTCCCAAACTCACCTATCTCTTTTACAAGTTGTTCACCTTGTTATCGTGGACACTGAGTATTGTGCTTCTGCTGTTTGTGGATGTGAAGGTTGCTTTGTTCCTGTTGTTATTTCTTTGGATCATAGGTTTCATATGGGCATTTATAAAGCAAACTAAGTTTTGTAACTCTCTAAGTATGGAATTCTTATATAGGGCTGTTGTTGGAGTCATCCTTGTGTTTACATTTTTTAATATCAAGGGACAGGATACTAAATGTCCAATGTCTTGCTATTATACTGTAAGGGTGCTAGGCACCCTGGGAATCTTGACTGTGTTCTGGGCTTACCCTCTCTCTATTTTTAATTCAGAGTATTTTATCCCCATCAGCGCCATTGTAATTCTTGCTCTTCTCCTTGGGATTGTTTTTCTTACTGTTTATTATGGCGTTTTTCACCCAAACAGAAATATAGAAGCACAGCACGATGAAACTGATGGAAAATCAGTACAGAGAGATTGTAGAATGAGATATTTTCTAATGGACTGAGTTGTGAATTTATGAGAAATGTTTTAGTTTTTGTTTTCTCACCAAGTAAAGAAAATGTCTCTTATATACATGCATTGTTTCTTATTTTTGTCACCTTTGACTTGAAGTGAGTTATGGTTTGTAGTATTTTATTATTTAAAATAACTTCTTCTGTATGCTACTGAGGATTAAGCCCAGAGCCTTGCGCATGCTATTCCATCACTGAGTTGTACCTCTAGATGTCTCGATGGTTTCAGAAGTCTTGAGTACTGAGGTATTTGCTTTCTGTCTGATAGAGCTGCCATCTCACTCCTCAAGTGGAATAGACAATGTGGTTCCCATGAGGCCCACAATGAGCTTCTCTCCAGCTTTCCCCCCATGGTTCCTAGAACCGCAGTGCCTCCTGTGGACTACTGCCAGAGGAAGGGGAAGAGGAGAGTGGCTCACTCTTTTTTTTTCTACTTTCTTCAGTCAGCACATGGCTCCTGAGTTTGGGACAGGGTGAGTGGAAGGAAAGGGGATGGAGAAAAGACGAGAGCAATTCTTAGAGTGAACGACTGTGCTCTTTGCATGAACTTCCCACTTGGGAAACAAAGAGCAGAATTGGAGAGGACAGAAAAATACATTGTTTACTGATTATTTAGCTTTATAGACACATTTTATTAGTAGATAATAGTTATATATGACAATGAGTGTTATTATGGAGTTCATAAATGACATAATGTCATGTTCCTACCTGATCTGTCTCTGTCCTGCTTACCTACCTCTTCCCAACTTGCTTCCCTGCTTTCAAATCTTGTTTTTATTTGTTATGACCCAACTAGTTTTCACTATGGTTGTTTACAGGAACATTGGCCCTTTATGCCTCTCTCTTCTCATCAGACTTTAAGTTACTATAAATCTTTACTGAGGCGTGGGCTTCTCATTTCCCTCCTCCCTCCATGACAGATGTTGATGGGCTCAGTTTCTTGTAGGTATTGTAGCTCTGTGAGTTTGAGACCATAATAGCCATGTCAGACCAGAGAAATTGTTCTACACCACTACCTCCTCTCTCTAGCTCTTACATTCTTTTTGACCCTTCTTTTATGCTAGTCCCTGAGCCTTGGGAGGGGGGTGACATAGATATCCCATTTACAGCTGGGCACTCAACAGTGGCTCATTCTCAGTACTTGGACTGGAATGTGCAGTCACCAGTGAACACTCAGAAAGAAGCTTCACTGAGTAGAGCCATCAGCAGTGCCAAACTATCAATGCAGGTGTTCAGAAGACAATTTGATGGGCACATCATGCCTCTTACAGCAAATCTTGATATCATTTTTATTAGTTACATTTATGCTGAGTAGTTTTAAAGTCAGATTTGATTCATATTATTTAAAAAATCTGGTAAAATATACAGCAAAATGTCTTGATCATTTTAAGTATAGTTCACTAGTGTTAACTATACTCACTTTTTGCAATAGATACCTTTTCACTTTGCAAAGCTCCGACTATATACGAATTGACGAGAAACTCTTCCCTCTGATCCTGGCAATAAGTTTATTTCATGTGTCATGATGTCTCCAAGGCTCATTCATGTTGTAGTATGTGGTATATTTTTGTGTGTTTTTCATGACCAGATGATATTCCATTGTATGTAAAAGCCACATTTTCTCTATTTGTCTATCAATAAATATTTGAGCTGCTGTCACCCTTGACTGTTGTGAACAATACAGTAATGAGTATAGATTTGTGACTATTTCTTTGGGATGCAGCTTTCAGTTTTTGGGTCTATGTACTCAGAAGTGGGGTTGCTGGCTTGTGTAGTAACTGTATTTTTATCTCTTGAGGCATCTTCATACTGTCTCTCATAATGGAAGTGTCATTTTATGATCCTACCAACAGGTACCAAGGCTAGTATTAGTTGTCTTTGTGACGCTGTGATGTGCACCTGATACACACCATTAAAGGGAGGAAAGTGCATAGCTTCTGAGAGATTATCAGAGCCCCACAGTGGGGAGGGAGGTGGTGGTGAAGTAGCTGTGTCTGTGCTAACAGCAGCACACTGATGTGGGAGGTCCTTCTGTATGCTGTTAATATATGTATCTCTTATTGGTTGATGAATAAAGCTGTTTCAGCTAATGGACAGTTGGGATGTAGCCAGGCAGGAAGTATAGGTGGGGCTATCAGACAAGGAGAAATCTGGGAAGAGGAAAGGCAGAGAGTCAGTCGCGAGAGAGATGCCATGTAGCTGCAGAGGAAGAAAGAGGTCAGGACATTCTCTGGTAAGCCAAGACCATGTGGAGATACATGGATTAATAGAAATGGGTTAATGATTAAGAGAGAGCTAGCCAGTAAGAAGCCTGACAGTTTATAGTTAATATAAGCCTCTGTATGTTTATTTGGGACTAAAGGACTGCAGACTGGGAGGGATAGAAACTTGCTTCTCACACTGTGGATCAGGAAGGGAAGTGAGGTTCTTCTTTCTCTTCCTTTTCCTTCTTCATCCTCTTCCTCTTCTTCATGTGTACAGTTTTATGTCTGCACTCCAGAAGAGGACACCAGATCTCATTGTAAACAGTTGTGAGTCTCCATGTGGTTGCTGGAAATTGAACTCAGAAGCTCTGGTAGAGCAGCCAGTGCTCTTAACCTCTGAGCCATCTCTCCAGCCCCCAGGCTTTACCTTAGACTCTACAGCCTTCAATATAGTGCCCAAAGCTGCCACACCAGCACTCACAACATTTCACTTCAAACCACAAAAGGTTCAAATGTGTCTTTACAGAACTTGTTATTTTTCTGACTTTTTTTTTTGTTTTTCATGTGTGTGAATGTGTACATACATGTGTGTGTTGTGCATTCTTGTGTGTACAAGCACATGAAGTTTAGAGGTTGCCACCAAGTTTCTTCCTTATCACTATTTATTTATGGAGACAGGATCTCTCTGAACCCACAGCTCAGCTGATCAGCTGACTCAGCTAGTCTGGTTAGTCAGCTTGCTTGGAAGATCCTGTTTTTGCTTCCTGAGGACTAAGATTGCAAAAGGCCTAAATGTCTTCTAGGGCTCTAGAGGGGAGCTGGGAATGTGAACTCTAGTGTGTAACTTTTTTTTTTTTTTTTTTTTTTTTTTTTTTTTTGTGCACTGGGCCATCTGTCTGTCTATCACAGACATCCCAGTGGATATGGAGTGATAGCTCTATAGTTTTATTTCCAATTTCTATGTGTGGGGATTCTGTATATCTTTTTATGTGTTTATTTATCGTTGGCCCATCTTCTATAGAGACTTATTTGTATCTGATGAAGAGCCAATATTCAGGATAAAGAACTATAATCCAATAACATCCACCAACCCTACAAGCTGATTTAAAATGGGTAAGGGATTGGAAAGTAGCCCAATCCTATTCTGCAAGTTTTGAGCAGTATTCTTAGTGAGAAGTAAATTTTGGTTCTAGGAGTAACTAAAAAGATGCTTGGATGACGCTGAGCTCCTGGAAATAACAAAGCTTTTCCCCATTAGGTTCTTTGTTCTTTTCTTCCCCATGTGTCTTAGTGGATGAAACCTTAAAAATGCATTTTCTGTTACCAGTAGAAAAACTGGACATACCATAATTCATCTTATAACTTAATAATAATAATAAAAACCTCTTAAGTAACTCTTGAGAACCTAAAAGAAAGAACAGATGGCAAAAATCAAAGCTGTTTGAGAACATTCAGCACTAACTGTGCCGGGTGTGTTGCTAGGCCCCGATGAGGGTCCACAACAGACATGTAACCGTCTGCTGCTTGAAAAGGTCACATGCTGTATGTAACCCTGATGAAGTCAATAGGCCGTCTTTTAGAATGCTTACTGAAATGTTGGCATCTTTTATTTTCTAGCAATTGGAATAAGTAATAAGAGGTGGCTATATTTGTATAAGTATGCAGACTTTGTAAAATGTAGTGAGATACTCTGGGTGCTTTTAAAAGTAAATAGCAGTGTGGAAGAACTACTTACTTTTTAAAATCTGTGTGTGTGTGTGAGAGAGAGAGAGAGAGAGAGAGAGAGAGAGAGAGAGAGAGAAAGAGAGAGAGGAGAGAGAGGAGAGAGAGATGAGAGAGAGAGAGAGAGAGAGAGATCAGATGTGTGAACCACAGTGCAGATGTAAAAGTCAGAGCACAACTCCAGGTGCTGGACCTTGCCTTCCACCTTGTTTGGAGATGGGGTCTCTTGTTGTTCGTTGCTGTGTATGCTAGGAGAGCTGGTCTGAGAGCTCCTGGAGATTCTCCTGTTGTCCCCACCTTCTATCTCATGATGGGGTATGAAAATCACATATGCATGCCACTGAACATGGAGTCTAGGGATCTGAACTCAAGTCTCCATGAGTAGTCTGACTTTTCTTATTGTACTTTCTTGTATCACCAGCTCCTCAACAGAGACTTATTAATTATGAAAGCTTGGCCTTTAGCCTAGGCCTGTCCCCAGCTAGCTCTTATAACTTAAGTTAACCTGCTTCTATTAATCTATGTTCTGCCAAGTGGCTTTTTTTTTTTTTAAACTTACCTCTCCACTGTACTGTATGCTTGACTTGGTCCAAGCCTAGCAGGTGTCTCTCCATTTCTCTTTTTCCCAGAGTTCTTTCGCTTCCGGGAAATCCCACCTATTCTCTTCTGCCTAGCTATTGGCCATTCAGCTTTTTATTAAACCAATCACAATGATACATCTTCATAGTGTACACAAAGATTATCTCACAGCATTCATGCTTGTCAGACACAGGTGCTCCAGTGAGCAATCTCCCCTTCTCAGGACCATTTACTTTTGGAGAAGCTGGGGGATCTGTAGTTCACCTTGGACACACTATTCTAACCTCCATGTGTATCTATGCCTCTCCACGTTCGGTTTGTGTCCTGGTTTTCTTTCCATTACTGTTATGTGAGACTCTCAGTAGAAGCAGCTTAGGGGACAAAGGGACTTTTTATTAGAAAGGTCACAATCCACCTTTGAGGGAAGTCAGGCTATACACTCAAACAGGAACTTGAAGCAGAAACCATTAAAACACTCTGCTTGCTGGTTCCCTCAGGCTCATACTTAGTTTTCTTATACAGCTTAGGACCACCTGCCTAGGAATACTGCCATTCACAGTGGTCTGGGCTCTCCTATGGCAATTAACCGTCAAGACAGTCCCCTGCAGACATTCCTGCAGGTTAATCTGATCTAGTCAATCCCTTAATTGAGACTCCCCTTTTAGGTGACTTCATACTTTGTCAACTAGGACAGTGTATATGTATATGTTAAAGTTAAAAACAGTTACATGTGTTCAGAACCACCTGAGTGGGAATCTGAGCCATAAAAGACCAAAAGACTTTTTAAAATATAAAGTAAAAATTTTCTTGAGTGGCTGGAGAGGTAGCTCAGTGGCTAAGAGCACTTGCTGCTCTTCCAGAGGATCTGAGTTCCGAGCACCACGTGGTGTCTCACAACTGTTTGTAACTTCAGGGAATCCAAGTGCATTCATGCACATGGTGTGTGTACATATGTTCAAACAAATATCCATACACACAGAGAAAGAAATCTTTAAAAAATGTTTTCCTCAATCATTCCTGGAGATGTAATGTTCATGTATAGACTATTAGTGATTTTTTTATTTCCAAGATTTTCACCTCCCTTTTGAGCATCTGGGGTCACAGCACATTCTGTCACTTGGGTCTTAAAGCCACCAAGACTGTAGATGTTCTGGCAGCTTTTTTTTTTTTTTTTTTTTTTTTTTTTTTTTTTTTTTTTTTTTGTAATTTTTACTTGTGTGTGTGGTATGTTTTGTGTGTACATATTGTATTGTGTGTGCATATATTTGCTAGTGTCAAGTGTGTGCACATATGTGTGAAGGCCAGAGGTGTGTTTTGGGAATCTTTCCGTGACCACTTTCCAGGGTGTCTCATTGACCTTGGAGCTCATTGATTTGACCATTCTGGGGGGCCAATGATCTTCATGGATCTGCCTATCGCACCCCCACCAGCTTGACTTACAAGCCTGTGCAACTTTTACATAGACTCCAGGAGTCCACACTCAGTTTCTCAGGCCTCAAAATCAGGCGCTTTTCCAACTTTCCCCCAGTTCTATCTGAAGCCTCTATGCTGATTCTGATCTTAGAAGTCAATCTTTTTCTGCTGTTTGTTTTGTTTAATCTTTCAAGCACCCTGAGAATTTTGCTACAGTTCATAGTGGTTATTTGTGAGAGTGGTACATTGTTGGGGCCCATAGAGATGGCTATGCTCATCTTGGCTCAAGGTCAGAGAGTTCTAAACTGTTCTTAGTAAGTTATAAGACTGAAAGGTCTAAGGCGTGGCTATAGTAGGATCTTTGATCTTGGTCTTGGGTGTCTTATCTAAATAACAACAGATTTGGTATGAGGTGTGGTTACTTTTACCTACAAGGCCAGATAATGAGAAATTGAATCTAAGGTGTGGTTACCAAATCCTTGGAGAATTAAGGAAGAAAGTCTGTTTGTTCCATATTCAAGATAGCATGCTCTCCTTTTTGGTTAAGGTATTTAAGAATGGTGAAGAATAATAAACTTGGTCCGTTCAGTAGTCACTGAATAGAGTCCTTACTCTATCTTGAGTCTCTGTCTTTCTCTTAGTGCCCTTTCTCAATCCACAATCCCCCTCTCAGGTACGAACCAGGGAGCTGGCTGGTTCTGACTGTAGCCACATAAAGACAGCTTCCCACAGTACATTAGC